AAGCAACATTAGAAGGACATTTTAGATGTTGTAACTGATGCACAAATACAAACTAGATCTTTGCATTAGATTCAAAATGCATAAACAGACTGTCCGCAGCCTCGAAACCCAACCGTTAAGGCTTATCCAGTGCTCCAGTGTTTCTATGGAGAAACTCTAGGCCTATCTTCTTAAGTTCATACCTAACTGGGACTTACCCAAAATTTCTCCACAAGGAAAACAAAAACCCGAACCAAGCATCATTTGATACTTAACACGCTTAAAGCTTAGTCCCCTATAATCTGTGCAGTTAACATCTAGTCTTTTATTTTGACCCTTAAAGTTCTTGCTGAGTTTAATTATCCCTACCCCCACCGGTGTGTTGACATCATCTTTCCTGTATTGCGAATAGCTAATGACCATTTTTCTCTGTTGCAGGTGAATGCACAATATTTGCAGCTGTTCGTGATTTAATGGCTAATCTTACACTGCCCCCTGGTGGGCGTCCATAGACACTATTGTTTTTAAAACCAGGAAGGCTGACAAATGAGACAAAACAGCAAAAAAAAACAAAAAAACAAACAAACAAAAAAAACAAATCTGAATTTAGCCTTCAGTTTAAAAAGAAAAAGGACTTTTTTGACTTTTAGAGATAAATATTCTAAACTGGCAAAATTTTTCAGGGTGCACTTCTTTCATCAAAAAGACCATCAATCTTTTGTATAGTGAACTTGTATAGTGTGTTTAAATGGGACACATTTCAAACTAGGTAAAACATCAGTGTCCGCTTGCCAGTAATAGATTTAATATTCTGTTTTATACTATAAAGTTATGGAAATGCCAAACTTGTTTATTTAATTGTTTTCTTATGTTTTGGGTGTAATAGTCCTTTTTTTGGTTTTTGTTTGTTTTTTAAGGCAGGTCTGTCTTTTTTGAATACTGTAAAACTGTGATAAACTTTATATTGAAGCTGTATTTTAATATGCCCGCTTTGAATCCTTACATGAAAATGTTCTGGGAGTTGTTATAAACACATCCCAAAGAAGCAATATTTAATAAAACTAGGTTTAAAACAAAACAACAGTGACACTCACTTGTGTGTATATCAGCCCTATAGACTTCTCAGGGCCTCCCTTCATCTTTCACCTGGTGGGGCCAGTAGTTAATTTTTAATGATACGTGTCTGGAATTTGACCCAAAACATCTGCTTCTTTGTTTCAAGGTTAATTATTTTCTTCAACCATTCCTAACTTGACCGGTGGTGACCATTTTGCACCTTAGTTGTCTTTCAGTGTAGGATTTGGGTAAAAAAGAAGGAACCAGTCTTTGAGAAGAGACAGTGAGTAGTTCATATGGATCAAGGTTCCCAAATTACTGCAGTCATTCTCATCCATTGAAGATAAAGGAACTTTTTTCTGTTGGGCAAATTTAGTTTGCAGGATGCTTCTGCAGACCGCATTAATTAGGAAACCTAGAACTTGGATGTTCCACCCTTGCATGAAATTTCTGTGACATTTCTTTATCTTGCTTAACCTGTCCCCCATTTCTTCTCCACCAAAATTGGGGTTATTGTACACAATCTTTAAGTCATTGTCACCAAAATAAAATGTTTTGCTTGAAAGAAACCTGGCACAGTCCCCCCACTTTGAAGAATCCAAGATCCACTGCCCATCCAGGGTCAGGTGGAGTTTCTGGTGCTGACACATCTCAGCAGAGTTTCTTTTTGGAGCACTATGCTCCCTCCCAGTCAGTCGGGGACCTTTTTAAGCTTCAGAGAATGTGATCAGAAGCAAAGGTCTTCTGGTGACTTAAATGTTAATTTGGTAAAGATTTTTTATATGATAATACTGCACTGAATTATCTGGTCACTGTAACATTGGCCCTCCAATAAATTTTAGATGTTCTAATTCCCCTTTAAGATGATTTGAGCTTCTGTTAGCTATCACCTACCAAATTCTAGTTTCAAGCATCTCACTGCAGCTATAGCATTATCTATTCTCAACTTTGCTTGATTCTCCATTCACTTCTGGTCAGAATTGAGGCCTTCTTTGCCTTTCTTCTGTGTCTTATTTCTACCTTTATCCCCTCCTTCTTGCCCAGCTCTGCCGCTATTCAGGAACAGGTGACTGAACTTTATCCTTCCTTTAACTTTTATCATTCAGTTTTCAGTTCTCCTTACAATGGGAATCACATCGGTTTGGCAATCAACAATGTCTTTATCAAGGGTCAGCACTTTTCTATTTGTAGCTGAGTCCTTTCTTTCATGTAGAAATCTACATGTATATACAAGAAATGTATTTTTATCTGCAGGATAATATTGTCTCCGATTTTACAAGTAGAGTAAGCTTCTGAGGTATTCTCCCTTTTAAGTGGTTTCAAGATGTTAACTGTATTTTTAAAAATGATGCATTCAGTGAACACTTTTTTCCTGATTATAACTCATCTCTGAATGCCTTGTGCAAATCAAAAGATAGGATTCAGTGAGCAGAATTTGCTTCTGCTGCTTAAGAGTAATCCCATGAATACAAATTTTGATATGCTTGGGACTTGGAATCAGTATATACTTTATTAAAGCTTGAAAACGCTAGTATTCAAATCTTAGGTTTCATGACAAACCATGTCCTTTGCCTCTTTTATTACCCAGGTTCAGTCAAAGGGACTGGATGCCTGTAGTGCTTTTTTTCTGATAGGTGGTTTGGGTCTTTAAGGTGTTTTCAGTGTCATTTTAGTAATTTTGGTAATAAATTTATACAAGTTTCAGAGAACTACCAACTCTCTCTAGTTAATTTTCACAGGGATATTTTGGATAATACCCTGGTTTAGTATTAGTTTGATCTCGAAAGAAGAAATTGGTCCTCATTAGCCACCTATTTCTCATTTGCTGAAATGCTGTTTTGGAATGCACAGAACTTTCAGAATTAGGAAGAAAGCAAAAAATTCAACACAAAATATCAAGTTATTAATAACAGGGGCTGAACCTTAATGTTTGAAAGTTTACCCTGAGCTACTGCAGAAACTAAAATATACATGATTGGAATGTAAATCCCACTAATAACGGTGTTGCAGTTAATACAGTAACTCATTCAGCCACAGGATACTGACAGTCTGTTAGTCGTTATTTGGACCATGATTAATTTGATAACTTCAAGAAGTATAATTTTGCTACCCTAAATTTGGAATCCAGTTTCTACATAAAAAGTTCCTTTCATAATTTTTCCCTTCCAAGTACTACCTATTACATTTTACTTTAATATTTATTATCCAAGTGTTCTTTTTTTTTTTTAATGTTTGTTTATTTTTGAGAGAGCAAGGGACGGGCAGAGAGGAAGAGAGACAGAAGATCCAAAATGGGCTCCACACTGACAGCAGAGAGCCTGATGCTGGGCTCAAAGTCACGAGCTATGAGATCATGACCTTAGCCAAAGTCAGACACAACCAACTGAGCCACTCAGGCGCCGCCCCCGCCCCCCCTTGTGTTCTTGATATACAGAGAATCTTAATAATTTACCAGAAACTTAAGGGAAAGAGAAAATGTTCATGTGTATTTCATTATTTCTTGTGGAATTTTCTCTTTGATTTGGTTTGATGGGAGTGGACAGTATGTCTAAGGGAATGATTTGGCGTTACTTAGGATGGATTTAGTATCAAGGTTATTAAGAGAACATGAGAGTCCAGCCAGCATTGTGCTGCACAACCCAAGGAGACCAGATGTCACAATCTTCTGGAAGTCGCCTCCACTTCCAAGTGGCCAAATGATTTGTTCAAATACCTTGCCCAGGAATATGACTGATTGATGGAAAGGCACAATTTAGATCATTATAAAATATTCACTGAGAGCTACTATTGTTAGGCACTGGCCTAAGTATTTCAATGTGTATTTAATCCATCAACTCAGTGGGGTAGGTATTAATAACCTCCTTTTATAGACGGGTAAACTGAGGCCCAGAGAAATGAAGTAATTTGCTGAGATAAAATTAAGTTTGCTTAAGATCAAACAGCTAAAAGGGGGCAGTTTTGAGTCAAGAGCTAGCACTCCTACACACCGTGCCACTTTGCTTTCAACCATAAAGTCAGGGAAGAATTTTGTTTAGGCTCTTTTCCGGACCCGTTTGACTCCACACAATTTTAACACTTTTCCAAGTTCAAGAAGCTCACTAAAAAGCAACTAAAACTCAAAAGACCTCTTGTCATATGGGGTTGACAGCCCATTGCCTTCTGACCCTCATTGCACTTATTTGGAACTTAACTAAGACTGCCTTATGTAAGAAGCACTAATTATAACTGAGAGTACTAGATCATCTATGCTGGATGCTTCAAGACCATAGTGGAAGAAGCCCTTATCCGGCTCAGGGAAGTGCAGCCCTCCAGGATCCAGGGCATGCGTTGTCCCTGTTTGCCTCTGCTAGACGGCCCAATGGCAGATGTTTTTGAACTCTGTGTCACCTTGGCACACTGCAGGAGCGTGGTAGATGCGTGGTACACGCAGCCGGCGGTCACATTGCACCAATACCCTTATTTACCACAGCCAATGTGTGGGCGTAGGAACTAAATAATAAATAGAATTGTATCATACAAGGAACATCTGTAATTCAAGAAGTGTACCCTGAGCATCTTATACGTCTCTACAATAAAAGAGGCACGGACATCAGGAGGGGGAGTCGAATCGGGGACGGGCAGGGCCTCAGTTTGGGGAAACAGACTAGAGGGCGGAAGTTTCAGGTACAGGCTCTCTGAGCCAGCACTTGACAAAAGAATTAGGCGTCTGCTGTCCCCTAACACTGGAGTGGGGTACGGGCCCTTTAAGCCAGAAGGCTCCGCCCAGGGGATCAAGGAGGCTGCGCGATGAGCTCAACCCCCTCCCTTCGCCGTGCACGTGGGGTCGGCCTCCAGGCGGGGCCAGGCCGACTGCGCAGTCGCCGTCGACGGCTCCTTCCCAGGCTTCCGCGCCTGCGCCGTCCCAGGCTTCCGCGCCTGCGCACTGCCGCCCGCCCCGCCCCCCGCCCCGCCCCCCGCCCCGCTGCCTCCTGGGCCAGTGCAAGACATGGTGCTGTCTGAGCTGGCAGCGCGCCTCAACTGCGCTGAGTACAAGAACTGGGTGAAGGCGGGCCACTGCCTGCTGCTGCTGCGCGGCTGCCTGCAGGGCTTTGTCGCCCGCGAGGTGGTCGCCTTCCACCGCGGCCTGCTCGCCGCCGCCCCCAACCTGGGCCCCCGCGCCACCTGCCGCAGCGGCTCTCGGTGCAGCCCGCGCGCTCGCCAGGTGAGCCCCGGGCCGGAGACCTTGAGCACCGCACCCCATCCCCCGTCCTAGTCCCCGTGCGCGGTGTCCCGAGCCCTCCCTGGGGCAGGGCCGACCGCAGTGCTCCGCGCTCACTTGCCCAAAACACCCTCCCTCCGTCCCGGGCCCCCTCTCACCGCCGCCCCCTGTAGTTTCAGCCTCAGTGTCAGGTATGCGCAGAGTGGAAACAGGAGATTTTGAAACACCACACCAACAGAGACGGAGACGTCCACTGGGGAAACTGCCGGCCGGGCCGCTGGCCCGTCGACGCGTGGGAGGTGGCCAAGGTAAGCACCTGCTCCGGAGTATAGGAGGTGACCCACCAGGTAACCGGTCACCTGAAGCCCAGAGCCTCATAAACAGATGCAGAAGGAGAGAGGAAAGGGTGTTTGATCTAAAGTCTAGTGTCTATTGGATCTAACCTAGGTTAGGGAAGTAGCAGCTTTCTTCTCCCTTTCTGCTAATAAGTCATTTGAGTTTGCTACCCCTGCTTGGAAAGCTATAGGGTAAATTTCGATAAGAGATGCTGACACCAGATGTAGAACGAGCATCATGAGCACAGGCCCAGCCAAGGAATAAAACGTTGAGGAGGTGGCAGTGAAGTGCGCAGCCATATAGAAGACTATTAAGCCTGTTTTCAGATCTTGGCACCATGACTTACTAGCTGAGACAATTGGGGAATTTTTTAAAAACTTTTTGATGTTTGTCAGAAGCCCAGTAGGGAGAGGGGTGGGGCAAAGTCACTTCCTAACACAAATTAACTTTTGCAGTCAGTCTGCATATTAATTAGCAGCCAGGCACAGGCTTGGTGCCTGGGAAGCCAGGATCAGAGTCCCAGCTCAGCTGCTGTTGTGTGACAGTAGTCCAGCCTCTGTTCCCGAACCTCAAAAATGAGGAAGCTGGACTTGATCAGTGGCCACCAGGCTCATGGCTGTCATGGACCCATAAGCCCACCGCATCTACACCCTCTTCCCCATTTTTTTTTTGTTGTTGTTGCCGCCATAGAATTGCCAACTTTTACTTCTACCCAGAAAAGAAAGAAACCCAAAATTCTACCCTTTACTGTGGCTGTCCCTTACCTGTTTGGTCTTTGTTGCTGCTTTCATACCCTTGGAATCCTCTTGAAGCCCGTGCCACCTGTTCACGCCCCTTTCTGTTATTGTCACCAGCGGACCTCCCCGTCCAACCTCCCAGTCCAACGCCAGTATTTATGTTCTCTCCTCAGCCACACCCTCCTCTTTTCTCCTCTCTGAAATTGCATGACCCACCCCCAACGCTGATAACACCGTAATCTGCTTGTGCTCAGAAAAAGAATCTCATGAAGGAGCTGACTGGTTTCTTTTCTTTTCTTTTCTTTCCTTTTCTTTTCTTTTCTTTTCTTTTCTTTTCTTTTCTTTTCTTTTCTTTCTTTTCTTTTCTTTTTTCTTTTCTTTTCTTTTCTTTCTTTCTTTCCTTCTTTCCTTCTTTCTTTCTTTCATGCTTATTTTTTAAGAGAGAGAGCATGAAGGGGTGGGGGGCAGACAGAAGGTGACACAGAATCCAAAGCGGGCTCCAGGCTCTAAGCTGTCACCACAGAGCCCAACACGGGGCCCAAACTCACAAACCACAAAATCATGACCTGACTGGAAGTTGGACGCTTAACCCCCTGAGCCACCCAGGCGCCCCCAGGTTAGCTGACTGGTTTTACTTTTAGTTCTTGATCACGAGTCCCAGTGGTCTGGCCACCCCTGTGTATAGGGCTCCTGTTTCTGGAGACAGCTGCTACTGCCTTTTCTTCTCCAAGCTTCCACTCCTCCACCCTCGCCCCCAGCTGCTGACTGTTTTCCTGGAGTTGATGCATATCCCCAGATACATGCTTCCCCATCTTTTTGCCAGACATACCAGCCTGTCTTCATGTGCACCGTCTTCCTTCTGCAGAGTTGGAAAGGCATCTCTTACTGCCTTGGCCCACCACTTATATGTCAGACCATGTCCCCCTCCCACCTGCCTCAGTTTATTTAATTTTTTTTTGAGAAAGAAAGAAAAAGATTAAACATAGGGTTACTACATGACCTAGCAATTCCCCTTCTAGGTTTATACCGAATGAATTTTAAAAATATACATCCACACAGGGCGCCTGGGTGGCTTAGTCGGTTAGGCGTCCGACTTTCGCTTAGGTCATGATCTCGCGGTTTGTGGGTTCGAGCCCCGCGTCGGGCTCTGTGCTGACTGCCAGCTCAGAGCCTGGAGCCTGTTTCAGNGGCTCTGTGCTGACTGCCAGCTCAGAGCCTGGAGCCTGTTTCAGTCTGTCACTCCCTCTCTCTCTCTGACCCTCCCCTGCTCACGCTGTCTCTCTCTCTCCTAGAAATAAATAAAACATTAAAAAAAAATTTTAAAAAAAAAAATATATACATCCACACAAAAACCTGTGTGTGAGTGTTCCTAGCAGCACGATTCACGATAGCCAGAATGTGGAGACAACACAAATGTCCATCAGCTGACGGGTGGACAGGCAAAACGTGGCCTGTCCATACAATGAGGTGTTATTTAGCCATAAAAAGGAGTGAAGTACCAGTACATGCTAGGACTTTGAGTGAACCTTGAGAACATCATGCGAAGTGAAAGAAGCCAGGTATACGTTGTAGGATTCCATTTGTATTGAATGGGCAGATCTGGGGAGACGAAAAGATTAGTGGTTGCTAGGGCCTGGGGGTAACAGGGAGGGGGGATAGTGAATGGAGGTAGAGGCTTCTTTTTGGGGTGCTGAAAATGTTCCAAAATGGACTGTTGATGGTTCCACAACCCTGTGAACATACCAAAACCCACTGGACTGTACGTGTTTTGTATCGAGGCAAAACTGACATGGAACATTGTATCAGTTTTAGATATGTAACGTGAAGGTTTCACAGGAGTATGGAGCGATTGGCCACATCACCATACATAGTTACACAAAATTTATTTTCTTGTGATAAGAACTTTTAAGATCTGCTGTTTCAGCGACGAGAACTTTTAAGATCTGCTGTTTCAGCGACCTTCGAATACAATACAATGTTATTAACTGCAGGCACCACGTGGTACAGTCAGTCCCCAGCACCCGCGTATTTTATAATTGGAAGTCAGTCAGTACCTTTCGACCCTCTTCCCCCATTTTGCCTGTCTCCACCCCCCTCCTCTGACAACCACCGATCTGTTCTCTGTATCTATGAGCTTGGGTTTTTGCTTTGGTTTGGTTTAGATTCCACGTAGAAGTGGGATCATACAATAATTGTCTTTCTCTGTTTGACTTATTTCACTCAGCATAAGGCCCTCAAGACCCATCCACGTTGGCGCAAAGAACTGTACGCTTTAAATGGGTGAACTGTATGGTGTGTGGATTATATCTCAATAAAGCTATTTAAAAAAAAAAAAAACTTCGCTTGAGCCGTCCCCTCCAGCACACTCCCTGTCTCTCTGCCTCCCATGCGCATGCCCAATAGAACTTCTCAGAAAGGGTTCTGTGCCTGTTGTCCTTCCCTTTGCTCCCAGTCACTCCTCAACCCATTCCACCGTGGCTTCTGCCCTTCCCAGCACCCTGCATCCATCTTGTTGGGCACACTTGACTTCCAGTTCTCCAGCCTCACCTTTCTTACCTCTCAGGCATTTGGCCCTCCTGGCCACTCTTGAAACCGTGGCTCTGTATCATCATTCTCCTCCACGGGTTTCCTCTTCTCTCCCTGGCTCCTCCTCCCCTCCTCGGCCTCCTCTGGCGATATTGCCCCGGCCCACGGACTTCACCATTAAATACTACCCTTATGCTGATGCCTCCCCACTTTGTACCCCCGGCCCTGCCCATATGCAACTGCATGCTCAACCCCTCTCCTGTTCCCTCCTGGGCACTTTGTATTTCCTCCTCAAGCAGGACTCTTCATCTCTACCCCCCTCCCCATGGCCACACCCCAGCAGCAATTACTTACTACCACCCTCACTTCATCTCTCCCTCTCCACACCCTTGTTTATACCTGCACAATAGTTTTGGATGCTTCTCTCCATCTCCACGTCACAACTCTCGTCTCTCCTGCCTAGCAATTCCACTTCTAGGTTTATACCGAATGAATTTTAAAAATACACATCCACACAAAAACCTGTGTGTGAGTGTTCCTAGCAGCACGATTCACAATAGCCAGAATGTGGAGACAACACAGATTGTTGCCTCTGATTGCAGCCTCCCACCTTATCACCTCTGCTGCTGTGGTCACATGTGGTCACCTCTGGTAGGTTCTCCTCACAGCAGGATGTGTGCTGTTAAAGGGTAAATTAGCTCATTTTCTTCCCTTGCCAAAAACCCTCTGGAAATTTCCTGATCTCCTTAGAGTAAACTCCAAGCCCCTTTCCAGAGCCAGTAAAGCACAGCACGATCTGGCCCCTGTTTGTTTCTCCAACTTCGTTTCCCCCACACTCACTGAACACGCAGTCGAAGACAGTGAGAGGCAAATAACAGGTGTTTCCTGCCACGTGCCTTTGACATCTGGAACAGGGCGGCATGCAACACCATTTTAAGAAACTCCTTTCAGTGGTGAGGAGGCAGGAGAGCCTCCCTGTCGGCTCCTAATTCTGAAGAAAGGAAATAAGTACTAGAATAAAATGTTAACGTGGGAAAGACAGGTTTAGATTGGTGAGAAAATGCCAGACAGGACAGTCCTTGTAATGGAAAAGAAAAACTATGGCTGGTTTGAGGCACCTAAGTAAGACCTCTCTTAAATTTGGAACTGTCATCCCAGCAGGAGCTGAAGTGTTTTTTGGTGGTGGTAGTGGGGGTGGTTTGTTTTTTTTTTTTAATTTCATTTCACTGCTTTGGCTGTGATAAGTTAACTTCTTTGTTAGCATTGTAGCATCCACCATAGACTTTCAGAGGATCAGCAAGTCAGTGGCTGTTAAGACATGAAAAGACAGTGATGGTACTAGCTACGGTACCTTTTTAAAATGTTTGTTCATTTTTGAGAAGGAGCATGAGCAGAGGGGTGGGAGGTGGGCAGAACAGTCTGAAGCAGGCTCTAGACTGAACTGTCAGCACAGACCAAGACACAGGGCTGGAACTCATGAACTGTGAGATCATGACCTGAGCGGAAGTCAGACATTTTTAAAAATTTTTTTTACGTTTATTTATTTTTGAGAGACAGAGCACAAGTTGGGGAGGGGCAGAGAGCGAATGAGACACAGAATCCGCAGCAGGCTCCAGGCTCCGAGCTGTCAGCACAGAGCCCGATGTGGAGCTCGAACTCACAAACTGTGAGATCATAACCTGAGCCGAAGTCAGACCCTTAACCGACTGAGCCACCCTGGTGTCCCAAAGTCAGACATTTAACTGAGCCACCCAGGCGCCCCACAAAGTTCTTAATTGTGTGAGGCTTCAATGGAGGATTCCACCACCATCAGGAACATAGCCCTGACTCTCCGTGGAGTGTTGGCACTGACCGCAAGCCCTTTCTGTGATACCGTTATGAGCAACAGTGTAGGAAACATGGTGGTTGCCTTCCTGCTGAAATGTGTCTGTTCTCAAGAAAATAGGTCTCTTTATTTAGAGTTCTTATTGCAAGTAAATTTGCTTATGTCATCTTTTCTAGTCCCTTGGCAGGAATGTACTCATGAGCTGCTGAGCTTGGTAAAATTGTTGCATTCAGATGTAAATTTGGAATGTTGCAGGAGAGATATAGGCCCAAGCCTTGCTGTGATACCATTTTGGGGGTCCGAGCCATAAAATCCTACAGAAGGCAAGATCACACTAGAGCAAGGCCCTTCTGATAGATCTAGTATCTCAAACCCTAGGATCCCATCTGTAACCCCTAGGTGGGTTAATTGCCAGCGTTTATGGCCTGTTGGTTTACCGTGTGCCGGACACCGCCCTTCACCTGCGTTAATTCGTATAATTCTCGCAACATCCTTCGAGGTAAATGAGGACAATTATCCCCTACTTACTGATGAGGACTCTGAGGGTAAGTAACTCACCCGGGGTCACCCACGTTGGCAGGTGGCTGAGCTGAAATGTGAACCCGGCTCTATCACAGTGCAAAGCCCAGGCTTTTAACTTGATGCTACCACACTGAACTTTTCTCAAGTCAGCTTAAAGTGCCCACTTGGGAATAACTATCACTTCTAAATTTTAAGTCTTCTTTAACAACTCAGCCACTGAAACTTCAGGAAGGAAAAGAGGGAAAAGAAAAAGCTGCTTTCTACCTATGCTTCCTGCTTATCCACCTTTAGGAAAAGACAGAAAACCAGCTATGCCAAGTGTTGAAGTATTTCTGATAGCAGAGGGATAGATAGAGCAATCCTTCGGTTATTGTGCTTGGCCAAGGCTTAGCTCTGACAGTTTCCCAGCCTGTGTTTTGGACTCACGAGGCTCCCTTGAAACCTCAGTAAGAGCATCCCAATCAACATTTGGGAAACAGGCAAGTAACATTTGCCCACCAGTTCCTAGGGTTGGAGGAGACTCAGGTGTCTTTTGTGCCTCCCCTACTCTAGGCCTTCATGCCCCGAGGACTGGCAGACAAAACAGGCCCTGAGGAATGTGATGCCATTGCCCTTTTAAGCCTCATCAACTCCTGTGATCACTTCATGATTGATCGAAAGAAAGTCACAGAGGTAAGAACTGTCAGATGTAAAACCATCCAGTGAGGGCTGCCTGGGTGGCTCAGTCGGTTAAGAGTCCGACTTCAGCTCAGGTCATGATCTCGCTGTTTGTGGGTTCGAGCCCCATGTCAGGCTCAGGTGCCGACAGCTCAGAGCCCGCTTCAGATCCTCTATCCCACTCTCTCTCTACGCCACCCCCCCTCCCCCGGCTCATTCTCTCTCCCTCTCAAAATAAATAAACATTTTAAAAAAATAATAAAATAAAACCATCCAGTGAGAGTCAGTTGGGTCGGTGCTGTGAAGAGCAGCTGAGAAAGACACCCTGTGGTGCTCAAATAGCTGTGCACACGCACACGTAGCACACGGTCTCTCCCCAGAACAGTGACATGCAGGGAAGGTTAGACTTTGGTTCAAGGTGGGCATCACTAAGTGGGCTAGTGGGGCTCCGGTCACATGCATCTTCTGTGTGTCCGAGAACCCCCATGCGAATGCAGGTAGGAGACTGACCCCTGAGTTCTCCCTCCATGAGGGTTTCCCGACACCTTGATCTCTTGCTGTTCACTGCTAAAATAGATGAGCCACCAGTTTCTCTCCCCTGGTCTGCCATCAACAGAAGCTGGGTAATTTTTCCATATAAAAATAAATAGGACCGGCACCTGGCCAGCTCAGTCAGTGGAGCGCGCAACTCTTGATCTCAGAGTTGTAGGTTTGAGCCCCACGTTGGTTGTAAAGATTGCTTGAAAAAATAAAACCTTTAAAAAACAGACAGCAGTGCATCACTCTGTCAGTCCTATGCCAGCATTTGAATCCTGCCCTTCTGAATCTCTTGGCCAGACAATTGCAAGGTCAAGTTACACAGAACTGAAGAAAATAGAAACCCTAGCAGACAAGCAGTGTCCAAATAGATCACTCTGTTTGTCAGATCTCCTCTGAGGGATTTAGACTTTCTCTGTTTCACCAGAGAACAGCTCTCACACATTGGTTAGTCTGAGGGTCGTTGAAAAGAGTATACAGCATGCCTGGATTATATATAACATGCAGAGAGAATGGACGTGTGTTTTGCTGGCGTGCTAGTAGCTGAAAGGACTGAGAATCTTTCGTGGTATCAGCAGAGGCAAAAACTGTCACAGTACAAAGTCGACCCCTTCGTATCTTTTACCTAAGAATGTGGAAGACCTTATGTGAATTGTATATTAATATATAATGAGACAGAATTGTTTGTCATACAATATAGGCAAAAGTTGATCCCTTTTTTTTTTTTTTTTTTGAGAGAGAGAGAAAGAGCATGGGAGAAGGGCAGAGAGAGAGGGAGACAGGGGATCTGAAGCGGCCTCTGCACTGACAGCAGTGAGCCCAATGTGGGCCTTGAACTCATCAACCTCAAGATCACAACCCGAGCCCAAGTCGGCCACTCAACCGACTGAGCCACCCAGGCGCCCCTGGCAGGTGGTTTTAAGTTTAGAGATTTGGAAGGTTGTGTAAGAGATAACTGGCCAGTAACAAGATTTCAAGAGCCAACAATAGTTGTAGGCTCGTTTATAGTTCTTCCTCCAGTTACTCCAAGCAGCAGGCAGTTGAACATCTCCCTGAGACCTTGTGGATTTCATAATTAACAAAGTCTTTCTGCAGTTTTTCTTTGGAACTCCAGAATCTCCGTTTACCCTGTCATTTGACTTTGAAACCTTCTATCTTTTTTTTTTTTTTTTGCCTTTCTGTAGGTGATTAAGTGTCGTAATGAGATTATGCATTCTTCAGAGATGAAAGTGTCTTCTCTGTGGCTTCGAGATTTCCAGATGAAGATCCGAAATTTTCTGAATGAATTCAAGAATATCCCAGAGATTGTCACAGCCTACTCCAGAATAGAACAGGTAATAATCAGACTGAACACTTCTGACATAAAGAACTAAGGGGAGGGGGGCCCTGGATGGCTCAGTCGGTTAAATGTCCGATTCTTGATTTTAGCTCAGGTCATGATCTTGCACTTGGTGGGATCAAACCCCACGTCAGGCTCAGTCAACTGGAGCCTGCTTGGGATTCTGTCTCCCCTTGTCTCTGTGCCCCCTCCATGCATGCCCAGTCTCTCTCTCTGAAAATAAATAAATGGAACATTAAAAAAAAAAAAAAAAAAAAACACGAAGGGAAAAAAGGCAACTCCAGTCACTCACTCAGAATTTGAAGTTTATTAGATTTCAATGAAATTCTAGAATGTAAGCAGGGGGGCGGGGGGGGAAACGTTGATACAAACTGCGGAATTGTGCTGGGCTTGAGAAGCTTTTCTGTGGTCACAAGATATTATTAAAATGGATCCAGTCAAAGAGGCTTAGTTATAAATTCTTCGAGCAATCCAGTGAAACCTCTTTTCCATTCCATCATTCATATATTTGCTTGGTGATCCAAACAGCTGTTGACATCTGACTGGGCTGTTCACATCCCCGCAGAAGATCAGCGAGATGGATGTGAATATGAAACAGGAGTTTACCTGAGTGAGAGCCAAGTAAATGAAATAGAAATGGAATTACTAAAGGAGAAACTTCAAGAGATCTATCTTCAAGCCCAAGAACAAGATGTGTTGCCTGAAGAGGTAAGAAAAAAAGAAGTATCCTCTTCTCTGTGTGTGTAGACCAAAGAAAGGTGCCAGGGAAAAAGAGCAGCTTGTTTTAATATATTGCCAGTTATGTTTCTGATTTATAAGTGCGATCATTTCCAGAAATGCATATTCTTTTGACCCAGACTACTATTACCTTTAAACAAATATCTTCCCTCAGACAGCAGACATCTGAGTGCCTGCTATATGCACACAGTGGTACCACACAGGAAGGGCAACAACAGGGTTCTGAACAAAAGGCCCCAGGGACTTTCTGCAGGTCGATGGGGTGGGGGGGGGGGGCATCGCAAAAAAAGACTTTGCTGAGAAGGTGCAGTTGAGGAGGATCACGTAAGCGTTTGGCAAACTGGCAAGAGCGGAAGGGCGTTCTTGGCAGGAGGAACGGCACTTGCAGAGATACCGAAGAATAACTTGGGCCTGAACAGTGGCAAGGCCAGCGTAGAAGATGTAGTCAGATGCCAGGGCAGCCAGGTAGCTTGGAGCCGTATTTTGAAAGGCTTGTTTTGCTGTTCCAAGGGGCTTGGACCTTATTCCCAAAAAGCAGTAGGGAGCCGAGGGCTGTTTTTAAGACAGAGTTAATCAGTGGATCCAATATGGCTTTTAGAAAGTTAACTCATGGTGGTTGGAGACTAGCAGGACAGTGTCACAGGCACGTGAGGTTGGAGAAAGGACAGAAACTTGAGGTGTGGCAGAGGGGCCGCATTCTGGAGGCATTGCTTGGGCAGAGCGGATGGCTTAGTGGCTGCTTACATTACTTGGAGTGTGGCACGGGGCTAGAAGGAGGTGGGGAAGGAGGCGGTCAAAGAATCCACAAGGATTCCAGTTTAGGTCCCTGCAGGCTAATGATGGCCAGAAGTCCTGATAGGGAATACAGGAGAAATGAATCCCCTTTGTTACATGCAAGGTATAAAAGAGCAAACAGTGTTCTGGTAAAGTTCGGACGTATTCCAGTACTTGCTGGATTAAAATTCTAGATCACCAGGAGATCTTGGACAAATCATTTTGCCTCCCCATTGTACCTTGTCCAAGGAAAGTAGTTTTGCTGGTTGCCTCTCTAAACACAGAAAGAGTGTTTATCTATAAAGTATTTCATTCATTAAGCTGTGCCCCTTACTGGTCCATATGCCTGTGTTAATCATTCTGACCTTGACCTAGATGCTTCATTCAGCTTGCTGAGCTCCTTTAACAGAGGGACTGGGTACCACTGCTTTTTGGATGCTCCCACCCTGACACACCATAGGTGTTTACAATGATGAAGAGGACAGTTAAGTCTTGTATTTTCCAAATCCGGGTGTTTTATCTTTATTTTTTTTTTAATTTTCTTTTTATGTTTATTTCTTATTGAGACAGAGAGAAACAGGGCATGACTGGGGGAGAGGCAGAGAGAGAGGGAGACAGAATCCGAAGCAGGCTCCAGGCTGTGAGCTGTCAGCACAGAGCCTGATGCGGGGCTCAAACTCACAAACTGTGAGATCATGACCTGAGCCGAAGTCCAATGCTTAACCGACTGTGCCACCCAGGCACCCCATATCTTACTTTATTTTAAAATACTGTTAGAAATGGGTGCCCGAGTGGCTCAGTCAGTTAAGCGTCTGACTCTTGATTGCAGCCCTTTTTATGAAGGGGTTCCCATTAAAAATACACTGTGCCCATGTAACTGTGAGTGTAAAATACATTCCACTTCAGAGCCAAAGGGGAGCAGCAGCTGTTCGGGGCCCTCTGGACACGTGTGGAGTGTGTCCACCACCAGCCCATCTGCAGCAGAATCCGGCTGCCATCCTAGAGCCCTTCACGTAGCCCTGCCAGCCCTCAGTGCTCTGTTAGGATCCCGGAGGTTTAAAAATTCAGCTAAAGTGGGACACCTGAGTGGTGACTTAGCCGAGTCGGTTAAGCGGCCAGTGGTTGATTTCAGCTCAGGGTCATGATCTCCTGGTTCATGGGTTCCAGCCCCACATGGGGCTCTGCACTCACAGCACATAGCCTGCTTCAGATCCTCTGTGTCCCTCTCTCTGTCCCTCCCCCTTCCCCTCCCCCTCTCAAAAATAAATAAATGTTAAAAAAATTTTTTTCAATTCAGCTAAAACATGTCAAGCACAGTAAGTGGCTAAAAAAACATGTAAGGAATTTGCACATTCTCACCTGGTGAGAGAACCATCTGCACAGAGACCCCTGGAGCAACTTAAGCAGAAGAGGCAGTGACAGAATGTACCTGACTCAGTCAGATAAAGGATCGAAATGACCCTTCATTTATTATATTCCAGAAAATATTTACGGAGCATGTACCTACTATGTACCAGGCACAGTTCTAGAAGCTTGGTGTGCATCAGTGAACAAAACAAAGATCCCTGTAAGGGGAGACAGTAAACAGTCAATGTAGTAAACAAACGGAGCTTCTCAGCTTTAGAAGTATTGTGTCGAGCACAGAAGGGGGGACAAGGAGTAGCAGAATGGGGATGAGTATCAGGTTACAGTCAGGTAGTCAGGGTGGCCCCCTGGAGGAGGTGAGGATTAGCCACGTGCACATGTGCACATGTGCCGGGAGAGCCTTCAGGCAGCGGGGACAGCAAGGTGAGCAGGACGGCTGGGGTGCGGGTAGGAAAGAAAAGCGCGTGAGGAGGTAAGAGAAAGTAAGGCGAAGGAAGCAGGTCATATTGGCCAGTGAGCCATCAGAAGAAGGACGTAGGCTCTTACTCCTGAGATGGCAGCTGTGGGACAGGAGCAGGGAGACCCATGAGGAGGCTGCTGCACCTACCAGGTTCAGACCGGGGTTGAGGTATACACATGGTATGGTGAGAAGGTGCACACACTGGGGCATGAGAGGCATCAAAGACAAGTCCAAGAGTTTGGGATTAAGCAGAAGAATGGGGGTGCTAAGCATGTTTTGCCTAGAGCAGCGCATGGCACATAGTAGACTGGCTCTCAATAAATATTTGTGGAATGAATGTACCAGACACAATGCTAAGTGCTTGGAGTAGATTATTTCTTTTTTATTTAAAAAAATTTTTTAAATGTTTATTTTTGAGTGAGAGAGAGAGAGAGAGAGAAAAAGAGTGGGGGAGGGGCAGAGAGAGAGGAGGACACAGACTCCTAAGCAGGCTCCATGCTCGGAGCTGTCAGCACAGAGCCTGTTGCCGGGCTCAAACTCACGAACCTCAAGATCGTGACCTGAGCCGCAGTCAAATGCTTAAGCGACTGATCTACCCAGGCGCCCCAGAGTAGATTATTTCTAGTCCTCACAAGAATCCTAGGTGGTGTTGGTATCCTCATCTTTCATTTGCATACGGGGAAGTGAGCTCAGAGAGGTCAAGTGTCTTGCCCAAAGTTATGCAGCTGGTTAAGTGGTAAAGGTGGGCTTCAAAATCCAAGTTTGTCTGACTACATTCCATGATTTTTCTAGTACTTTCAGTTTTTCCATCTCTATTTCCTCTTCTCCTTTTACATATACATGTGTATAAGTCTTCCCTATTCTTTAAAAATTTTTTTTTACTGTGTCTCTCTGCAGCCCCCCCCAACCCCACCAAACTAAAATAATCACCCCTCTTAAGTACATTTCAAGGGCACAGAGGGCCGAGATGTCACAGCAAAAGGATCACAGTGTCCAAGTCATCCAGTGAGAAGGTCTCCGGACAGGGGGAGGGAGGCCCTCCACTCCATCTTGGTGCGTGTGCAGTACGCAGACCCAGCCAGCGAGGTCATGGGCATCTGATGGGAACCCAGCACCAAGCACAGGCAGTAAGAGCTAACAGTGCAGTACCCACAGTTACAAGCGTGTGCTATGAGTAGTATCATTGGTACAATCTTTCTTTCACATTTTTGCAGCTTCTAGATTTATTATTTAAAGCCCAGGTAACTTTGAGGAGCGGTAGACTTGTTTCCAGCTGTGTAATAAGCCGCTTGTCCCCGTGTACTTAACTAACCTGTCTGGAGACCTCTGGCCATCTTCAGCTCCTCGCTGGCCCTCCCTGCTCCCTGTTCATCCTAGCCGCAAGCCACAGCCAGTTTTCCTCCTCCCTCCCATCCCGCCACCATCCAGCATCTGGCTGTTTCATGTACCTCCATCACAATAACCTGAGTGCCCGCTTAGCTTATACCCCACACCTACTGCGTCAGAATCAATTATGAATTCTCTGTAAAGTGTAAGAACCACCACTCTGCTAGGGGTAAGGTACTCCATTGCTTTTCTTCATCAGCTTTAGGTCATTTTGACTTAGCTTGGAGTTGTGGGTCCCCCTTTAATAAAATTCCCCGTGCCCCCAAAATATGAGTGACTCTCATCTTTGCATGAAGCACAGTGACTGGTTAGGGGATCCTGGGGATGAGCCCAGTGAAAACACTTCCATTGTACTATTCTGAGATACTTTTATTAGTTTAAATGTCAGGAAGTACACATTACTGGTGGGAGTTTAAATCAGCACCATAACCTGTATACATGGTAGTTTGGGCAAAATCTATTAACAGTAAAAGAAAACTCTCAAAATTAAAGCCACATTCCACTTCTAAAAACAGATCCTACAAATAGCCTGTCACTCGTGCAAAATGACACATGTACCAGGCTAGTTACTACAGCATTATTGCTCCTAGCAGAAGACTTGAAATAATATGTTAAAATATGAAACATCCATAACTGAAATACCATTTAGCCATTAAAAAAATAGTGAGGCCACTCTTTGTAACCTGCCATAGAAAAAAGCTCAGTTGAGGGACAATGTCTAGTATGCTGCCATTTGTGTTTTTTAAAACGTGTATGTGTCAGTCATAACTACTGTGAAAAAAATTTTTTAACTGTGTATATATACACGTATATACATATGCTCACATGTAAGTGCATACAGTGGCTCTGGAAGAAACACGAGAAACTTTGTTGTGGTCCCCTCTGAAGATAGAAGCTGGGTGACTGGGGACAGGGTGGGGAAGACTGACTTTCTACCTTGTTCTCCTGTGTTCGTTTTGAACTTTGCACATGTACTTATTACTATTAAACGTACATATATTTTATAAATATTTAATAATACCAAATGTATACATATATTCAATAGTAATAAACGTGGAGGTATAAATCCCAGATGAAAGGGCTTCATTTTGTTTTAATACACAGTATATATACATGTGTGCCTGTGTGTGTGTGTGTGTGTGTGTGTGTGTGTGTACATACACATATAGACATAGAGACAGATATATAGACCTTTCCTACAAATGCAGGAAGTTGTGTTTTGTTTCAAATGCAGGAAGTTTTAAAGCAAAAAATTAAAAATGTTCCCCATTTTTATTGAGATGTAATTGACATGCAGTTTAAGGTATACAGCATGATGATTTGACCCACATATATTATAAAATGTTTACCACAGTAAGTTTAGTTAATATCCATCTGCTCATACAGACATAAAATAAATAAGAAAAAAACTCCTGGTGGTACAAACGCTTAGGATTTACTCTTGTAACAACTCTCCTGTATATCACCCAGCAGTGTTCGCTGCAGTCATCATCGTGTTGTACATTCCATCCCTAGTACTTTTTATCTGGTAACTAAAGTTTGTACATTTTTATTCACTCCCTCCCACACCCTCCCCTCCCCACCCCCTACCTCTGGTAACTACAATTCTGATCTCTTGTTCTTTGAGTTTGCTTTTTGGGGCTTTTTTTTTTTTTTTTTTTAAGATTCCATGTATAAAGGAAATCATACAATATTTGTCTTTTCTCTGACTTCCTTCATTTAGCGTAATGCCCTGAAGGTCCATCCACATTGTCACAAATGTGGGATTTTCTTCTTTTTTTATGGCTGAATAATATATACACCACAACTTCTTTATCCATTCATCTATCGATGGCTACTTAGGCTGTTTCCACATCTTGGCAATTGTAAATAATGCTCCTCGTGAACATAGGGCTGCAGATCTCTCTTCCACATGGTGTTTTCATTTCCTTCAGGTATATTCCCAGAAGTAGAATTGCTGGATCTCATGGTAATTCTATGTTTAATTTTTTTGAGGAACCTCCATACTTTTCTCCATAGTGGCTGCACCAGTTTATATTCCCACCAGCAGTGCCCAAGAGGTCCTTTTTTACCACATCTTCACCAGCATCTGTTACCTCTTTTCTTTTGATGATGGCCACTCTGACAGGCACGTGGTGAGATTTCACTGTGGTTTTGTCTTGCGTTTCCCTGATGATTAGTGATGTTGAGCACCTTTTTGTGTACTTATTGGCCAATCATATATCGTCTTTGGAAAAATGTCTATTCAGACATTTAAAACATATTAAGAGGGGCGCCTGGGTGGCTCAGTCAGTTGAGCGTCCGACTTCAGCTCAGGTCATGATCTCACGGTTCGTGGGTTCGAGCCCCACGTCAGGCTCTGTGCTGACAGCTAGCTCAGAGCCTAGAGCCTGCTTCAGATTCTGTGTCTCCCTCTCTCTCTGACCCTCCCCTGCTCACGCTGTCTCTCTCTCTCTCTCTCTCTCAGAAATAAATAAAACCATTAAAAAAATTTTAAACATATTAACAATAACCTTCTTTTATTTGGGTTATTTGGGGGTTTTTGCTATTGAGTTGTACAAGTTCTTTATATATTTTGGATGTTGACCCCTAAAAGCAAAAAACAAAAAAAAAAAAACCAATAAACAAACAATGTAAGGAGAGAAGTAGACACCCCTTTATGTGGCGCTAGAACCGGCTATGGTGGACCCCTAAGCAGGAGCCCGTCTTGGGGCTAGTAAGTTTTTCATCAGAATTACAAGCCTGCTATAAAATTTTCTAAGCCATCCATTGTGTGGTTTCCTCCTGCAGATCTTAAATCGACTGGAAGTGGTGAAAGAATTTCTGAGAAACAACGAGGATCTTAGAAATGGTCTTACAGAAGATATGCAGAAGCTAGACAGCCTCCATCTCCAGCATCAAAAACCAGATTCACAGGAACCTGGGGCACAGACACCTGCAGGAAAGGCATCTCTCTCATAATTGAGTCTAACCCGAAGTTTCCCTGTGTCCTTATTATTTGAAAGAAAGGACAACTGAGCTTTGCGCTCTTTCTAACTGATGGTTCTGACATCTGTGAAGTAATTCAACATAATCTCCCTGTCAGCTGTGTTTAGACAAACATACCTGAGGTCATTGGTCTAGTCTTAAGTAAATCAACTTTCTAACATAATCAAAAAGCACATCGGCCCTAAAAGGACGCCAGGGACGCCTAGCTCTTCCCTATGGCATTACTAGCAACTTGTTAGTTTCCGTAAGAAAAACCCGTTAAAATAACTGTCTTTGGTGTTTTACATTTTTCCCTTCAAATAAAAGAAAATTAAACATTTTCTCTTGTTTTAGGCTGCCCTTTGACAAAAACCAAGCATGTTATGTGAACGTCAGCGCGGCTTCAATCTCAGCCCTAAAGGAGAACCTTACCGGAGTACCCCACCCAAACAAAAAGGAATTTTTGTTGTCTTTTCATGGGCTTTCCTTTGACTCTTTGGGAATATTTTTTTAATATTCATAAGCTTGGTGTTGTGTTATCTGTAACTGACCAAAAAATGTTAGATACTGTTGTGCCAAAACTTGTTCTCACCCAGGGTTGGTTTTTTTTTTTCCCTTTCGTTTTGTTTTGGTTTATTGGTTTGGGGGGAGGGTTTTTGCTATTCTTTTCTGGTCCTAAACTTAAGCTGCTTAACACAGTAAAGGCTATTTGGCCAGGCCTGTGCGAAGGGCCACAAAGAGTTCTCTGCCAGCTGGCACACAAGCCCTGTCCCCGCACCCCTTCCTGAAAGTCGTACTTACAAGGATGCCCAAAGGGCGGGCTGTGCTGTAAATGTTGAGATGTAAATCCTTCCTTTTTGGAAGAAGGCAAGAAAACAGATTGCCCGAAAGGCCATTTTCTAGCCATTTACAATTCAGTACAGAACTATTGCTATCCATTTCTGGAAGCCCCGGGCACTAGGGCAGGGAGGTGTGCCCAGGCTGGTCGGTGGGGTGGGGACCGGAGAACACAGTGTGACTTGATTGACCAAAGCAGGCAGAGGGCCAAGCCAGCATCACAAACGGGAGTGCCGGGGAAAGCTTCATAGTTGCTGGCCTGTTATAGCACTCCTGGGAAAGTCAACCGCTGTGGCAGTCCACTCTTTTCACTCATTTATATCGCAAGTGCACAGAGCCTAGCCCCCATGAATGTTATTACCATTAACGCTGACAGCTGATAGTGTGGAGCCTGCTTGAAATTCTCTCTTTCTACCCCTCCCTTGCTAGCGTTTTCTCTCTCTCTCAAAATAAATAAACATTTTTTTTAAAAAAGGATGTGGTTTGTAGACAATGGGCAGAGGGTAGGGTGTATTTGGTATATTTTTACGTTAAGATGCATGTAAAATAATGCTGTAAACGCTGGATGAATGCAAATGTTGCCTGTAACTTACTGCTTAGTCTTGAATCATACATTTTCTTTCTCCCTTCATTTCATGCAGCTCCTTTAGAAGACTTCAGCAGTAAAGTAAGAATTCTCATTCATCTCACAACTATCCTCAAACTAAGAAATTGGCTGAAACATTTCCTAGCTTCTAGATACAAGGTACAAGAGTCGGGATCAAATTAAATCTTGAGTCACTAACCAATTTAAGACCTGATTTCTAACTTTAGGAACTTAGGGTTATGAACACTTTCATTTCATGTCCCTTGTATCTAGTTAGCTTTTCCTTCTCTCTCCAACATTTATCATGTGTCAGCCACCAGCCAGGCCCTGGAATCGATGCAAATGTGAGGATTCCTAGGGTGTGGACGATGGTATACATGCTGCCCTCTCTGGATTTATCATCTGCTCTGATAAATTGAAGATACTGTTCAGAAAAACATTATACTGACAACATTTAATTACACTGAAATTGAAGAAAGGAGACACGCCCAGAGAGAGCGTTAAAGCAAATGTGGCGTGTACAGGGACATCAACCTGTAGGCCTCTCTCCGGATCTGTGCACACAGCACAGGGTGTGCCCAAAAGGGCGCTCGCAGTCGAATCGGCAGCCATCCATCGAGATGACGGGTTAAATCCCATGCACATCCATGCCACCGAGCATTATGCAGTTTGCTAAGAAGTATAAACTAACGCTGCAATGCAGTAATATGGAATGCTCTCAAACACCTACTCAATTGAAAAGCAGAATGTTTAACAATGCGTGGCCTGCTGTTAAACTATTTGTATCTTTCAATAAAAGGTCTTGGAAGTTGTGTATTTTTGCCAAGCTCTTTTGCTGTTTTAGCTCTGTGAAAGGAATTGGGGTTGAGTGGGGTGGTTAGAGGAAATCCGGCCTTCCTGTTCTTCACATACCCCCGCATGAAATTTTTAGAACAAACATGCGCTCCTGGTATTTTGGAGGTTTTTAATTACAGTTTTTCGTTTCAAGATAATAAAGAGGCATGAACAACATTAATTCAAACTGCCATGACTTATGTGTCACATTTCCCGGGATGTGTTGTAGCCTCCATTTTTGTGGGGGCCAGCTCCACCTCTGGGGGCACCTGTGAGGCATCAGGGTCCAGAAAAGCCCAGGAAATGCTCTTCTTTCCACACTGGGCTGTTTCGTCTCGGAGTGCCTGGTTTTCATCCAGCAAAATGATTTGCTCTCTCAGCCTCTCCCTGAGACACAATATGTGGAAAGAATCAGGAGAGAAATAGTTTCAGCATTATGGTTGCAAAGGTAAGGTAGTTCTTTGGATTTTAGCTCGTGCTTTGCCAGAGAACTCGGAGGACCTAAGGGGAAAGACATTACTTATGAAACTCAGTATAAAACCCGAATTCTGGGAAATAACCTGTGTGTCAGTAACAAAAACTTCTGGAAAAATAGCTCTGCCAATTCAGAAAATGTTATTGGCTTCATAAAGTAGTGGAAGAGATCTGTAGACAGGTTAAATTGCCAGGGCCAGAAAGGATCGTTTGAGTTAGGGAAGGTTTATGAAATGATTGTTACCCTAACGATTAAAAATTTTGTTTTAAAAAAGTTTTTTTAAGTAGGCTTCATGCCCAGCCTGGAGCCCAATGTGGGGTTTGAACTCACAACCCTGAGATCAAGATCTGAGCTGAAATCAAGAGTTGGACACTCAACCGACTGAGCCACCCAGGTGCCCTGAAATGCTCATTTTAATTCAAGTATCAATCACTTATATGGCTTTAAACATGAACATCCTAGGCAACAGAGGGTTAGACCTCTTAGGTGGGCATACTACAAATTAGACCCTATAAGTGGAGCATTGCTTTAGAGTAGGAGGCATTGCAGTCTTTTGGATTTTTTCTCTAATCATTTTGCCCTCTAAATTATAAATGCTGTAAAATGATAGGAAATTATCAGTAGAGATTATTACCTATGTTTCCCTTACCAGGTTAATTAGAAACCTACCTGCCTTTTATTGAAATATACTCAAATTACAAAATACATTGTTGTAAGACAGATCTAAAAATAATGAATTCCTACTCAGGTAGTAGTGAAGGGGAAAATTCCTTTAAAGTTTTAATAAAAATCTTGGTAAAAGGTTATGACTCACTTCAAAACTTTAAGAACTGGTTTTTATTATTCCATTATAGTCTGAACTATCTAAGATACTATAATACTATATTCCAGAGACTTCCTTCCTACCTCTCAAACCCATGCTCTCTGATATGTGCATGTGAGTTACGACCACAAAACTGTAAACTGAGCATTTTGTGACATCTTTGGGGGAAGATGGGTGATGACCTAACATGCTTTATTACCTTCCACTGAGTTTCAGAAAGGCATGAGAAGTTTTATTTCAGAACCATACGTGGTAGCTAGCCTCCAAGATGGCCCCCAAGATCCCTGTCTCCTGGTATTCCCACACTTGTATTTTCCTCCCACAATGTACCAGAGATGGGCCAATAGGACACAGCTGAAGTGCCTGTGTGTCACTTCCCAGATTATGTTACAGAAGACTATGGCTATCTTGGGCTTTCTCTTGGGGTACGTGGAGGGCAGCCCTGTCGTGAGCAGCCATGTCATGAGCAGCCCTGTGGCCCTTATGCCAAGGAACTGAATGAAACCTGCAAACAACTGTGTGAGTGAACTTGGAAATGGATCCGCCAGCCCAAGGCAAGTCCAGAGACCGCAGCCCCAGCTGACAGCTGAGAGACCCCGAGCCAGAAGCACAAAGCTAAGCCACTCCCAGGTCCCTGACCGTCAGAAATGGTGAGATAGTATGTGTTGTTTTAAGCTAAGTTTTGGGGTGATTTGTTACAAAGGAATAGATAACTGATACACAATAGTTTTCCACACTTTGATCTCCTCCTGAATGCAGAACATGAAATGCAGAAACTGCCTAGAAAAAGGACTACTGCTTAGATGCCACAGAAGATAAAGGGGGCGGGGGTGCCTGGGTGGCTCAGTCAGTTGAGTGTCAGACTCTTTGATATGATCTCAAGTCATGATCTCGGGGTCGTGGGATCGAGCCCTGTGTCAGGCTCCGTGCTGAGCATAGAGCCTGCTTAAGATTCTCTCTCTCCCTCTGCCCCTCTCCCCAGCTTGCACTGTCTAGAATAAAAATAATAATTTTTAAAAAGAAGATAAAGGGGAATCTTCCAGAGTTTCACTAGTGTGCCTGTCTTGTCCAAGACCTTATGTCTTCAGAAACTTTCAGAGAGTTATCTTCAATTTCTTTGCATTTGAAATCTTTAACAAAAGTATGGGGGGGGTTGGTTTTTTATTATTTAAAAAAATGTTTATTACTGAGACAGAGAGAAACAGAGCATGAGTAGGGGAGGGGCAGAGAGAGGGAGAGACACAGAATCCGAAGCAGGCTCCAGGCTCTGAGCTGTCAGCACAGAGCCCGATGCAGGGCTCGAACCCACGAACCATGAGATTATGACCTCAGCCGAAGTCGGACGCTTAACTGACTGAGCCACCCAGGCTCCCCAAGTAGGGCTTAAGTAGTCTTCACGTAGCAGACCACTCTGGAACTTCCTGCATCCTCCAGAGGCCAGAGATTCGGGGTCAAATCCTAGTGGGTAGCCTCTGCTGCAGAGGTAATGGCCTCACACCCACAACCCCACCCTTCTCTTTCCCTGCTTCATGCAACCTGGTTGGACAAGTCCTTAGCACCCATGGGATTCCTAGGGGAACACTGGGCTAATACTGTTGACCACTGACCCCCACCCCCACCCCTAGCTAGCATTCAGCACAGGGCAATAGGCTTACCAGTTTTACCAGCTGCCATTTACCCCATTTTTAGGCATGAAGAGGAAAGGATTATGATTTTGTCATTCTTATTTTCTAGTTACCTAAAATCCAGGGTTGACAGCAACAGACCTCAGAGTTCTATATCCTGTTTCTATGGTAGAGTCTATCATTGTCCTCCAGTCGCCAAGAGAGTCTAGGTTCTCTTAATAAGCACTCCTTTTAAAAGTCTAAACTGGGTTTCACTGAATTCATTTAAACCCACTTTGACACTTTGAAGTATTTCCCTCCGTAGACATAGCCCCCGACTTATGTTTGCTGTAAGAGATTAATGCCTGTACCAAGTTTTAAAAATCATGTACGCTACTAGGTGCCGTTACTTCGCCTAGACACCCAAAACAAGTAACATCCCGAGAAAGCTTTCATTCAGTCTTCCTCTCCTGTAAAAACTACCCCTCGAGGTGCGAGCAGGTCCTGTGATGAGAAACACCAGCCAATCTACCCTCCCCTAAAGAACACTGTATTTCCAGGTTACGAAATAAACACTCAACAGCTTCGGGTCTTTGCTAATTTCTACTTTAATTAACCAAACTGCAGGTTTAAATCAGATTCGCACTGTTTTATTGGAGTCAAAACCAAACTTTTCACTGGTCTTTTCTTCAGGAAGAGTAACAGTTCAGGGCTTGCAAGCTGCAAAAACTCGATCGGTCCACTCAGCCAGGTTTGGAGGACGACGTGTTGGAGCTGGAGGCGGCCTAGCAGCAGCTGTCGTCCTCAAAGTCGCAAGTACACGCATGGTCGCAGGTGGGAACGGTGGTGGTGGCGGCGGTGGCGGCGGTGGCATCATCGTCTGCGGCAGTGCCGGTGGCGACGTGACCGCCGAGGCGGTGGATCATCAAGCGGCCCCCCTGCACACTCTGCGCCACGACGTTGGTGCCGTGGCACGCCAACAGCAGCAAGTTTCGAGGCTGTACGCGGTAGGCGAAACGCATGAAGGCCATCGAGTACAAGATAAGCGCCGTCGTCATGCGGCCACTGATGATGTCGGGCGGTGCTCGCATGTCCTTAAAGGCGGCCAGCGGCAGGCCCCAGTTGGCTACGGGACCCCAGAAGTGAGTGCTGGTCAGGTAATCCCGGAACTCCTTGGTCTTCATGTAGTCTCTCGCTCTCCGCCACAGTGCCGCCACCGTCGCCATGATTGCCGAGCCGTGGGGGGCACCAACGAAATAAAAGCCAACCAGCCAATGACGTGGACGCAGACCCCGCCCCACGCAGCGTCGGCCACGGGCTTCGTGCCTTCGCGTGGCTGCCATAAAGTGCTCGTGCAGCTGTCGCAGGTGCCTTTAAGGGCGGGAGGTCTTAAAGGGGCCACACCCCTGTGCCTTCGCGTGACTGCCGTAAAGTATGTCTGACGAGCACGTGATGCTCCCACGTAGCATTTGGAGATGGAGCCTCGCTGTCGTCCCCAAACAGGACGGCCGGGAAGTGTGCGGGGCGTGCATGCTCGTGTGTATGTGTGTGCATGCGCCTGTGCCTCCGGCGAACGTGAGACCGCGGCCTCGTCTTTGCTCGCCGTTGGGGTGAGACTATCGTAAACCTCTCTGGGCTCCACGTGGCACCCAGCAAGGTGAGTGGCCGTCCAGCTGTGGGCTTCCCTTCAACCTTCCAGGGGGAAACTTTGCTTGTTCTGCCCAGTCTGTGGACAGTGGTGATTTGATGTTGCTGCACAGTCCTTCAAGCAAGTCCACAATTTTAGCCCTGATACGGTTTGCCTGAGCATTGCAGATACAGTGACATTTCACCCCTAAATCTTTCAGCATCTGGCTCCTAACAAGGATATTCTCCTACTTAACCACAGTACAACAGTCCACTCAGATACTTAACATTAGGTACGGTACTATTTAATATGCCGTGCATATTTAAGTTTTAGAGTTTTATGGCTGTTTTTTTTTTTCTTTCATGTTGGGGCGGTGGGGGGGGGGAGATCTAGGATCCAGTCAAGATTCACATTCAGTTACCTCTTTTAGATTAATCTCCCTTAGTCTAGAGGAGTTCCCTAGCGGTTTTGGGGTTTTTGTTTGTTTTTTGTCTTTCATGACAGTGACATTTTTGAAGACTACAAGGCAGCGGTTTTTCAGAATATCCTTAATTTGCAGTTATAGGATTTCTCATAATTAGATTTAGGTTAAACATTTTGGGTCAAGAATGCTGCACATGTGACGTTGTGTCCTTCGTGATGTTAAGTTTGATTATCTGGTTAACTGGTTGTCCGCCAGGTTTCTCCCCTCTGAAATCAGCAAATACAGGGGGAGCCTCTCTGAGAGGGTGTGGAAATTCTACTTCAACAGTCTTTCACCTGATAGTTTATATCCATTGAGGAAAATTCTTAATGACACAACTGATGATTATCTTACAAGTGTTTTCTATTTTTTCCAATTAAAAATAACTTGACAATTAAATATACTTTGAAATATTAATACTTTAACGATTTATAAACAAGACCATGGTACGTTTAAAAATTAGTACATTCATTATGTTTATTTATACCCCAAGTATTTTGTAAATATAGCTTATATAGTATAGCCATTGCTCAAAAGGAAAACACAGCATCATTTTTAGATAACCTTTTTAAAATGTTGTGCTTCCAAATATGGATGACTGGAATTCTAGTGTAAATTAGTTCAGAGTAAGTCTGAATTAACAAATCCGGCAACCACAAATTGAGTGCCATTCTAGGCCTACACCTTCAGATGCTCCCGTGTCCTGAAAGAAATGTAAGGTACCACACCCCTTGTCCACAAAAGAAACTTTCAGTACTTGCAGATCATGTCACTTGGGTTGTTACTTTGTTCTTGATTACCTGTTGCTGTGTGACAAATCACCCCAGAGCTAGTGGCTTAGAACAACAGCAGTCCTTTATTTTACTCCCAAATTTGCAGTTTGGGTGGGACTCCCTAAGGACAATCTACTGCTCCATGCATCACCAGCTGGGGCAGCTCAGTTTGGGGCTGGAAGATGCACTTTCAAAATGGCTCACTAATGTGACTGGCAATTTGATACTGGTTGTTGGCTGGGAGGCCTCAGTTCCTTCCCACAAGCTGCTTGTACTTCCTCACAGTATGTGGCTGAGCTCCAAAAATAAGCGTTAACAGGAGAATCAAATAGAAGCTCTGTGGTAGGCAGAATTTTACCCCCAGTAACCCTCGCCCTGGCATATCCCCCATTGGATTGGGTGGAACCTATGAATATGATTAGATTTCACTCCCATGATTATATGACAGAAGGGATTTTGTAGGTGTAAGTAAGTCCCCAAGTCAGTTGACCTTAAGATTGGGAGATTCTACGAGTGGGCCTCAAGTAATCACTTGAGCCATTTAAATCTGGGTCCATTTTAGAAGGTGGAGACCAAGGATGTCAAGGGATTTGAAGTGTGGGAGGGATTTAATATGAGGGAGATTATCTACAGCTGGCTTTGAGGGTGGACGTGGCCATATTAGCAAGGAATTGGGGTAGCCTTTAGGAGCTACAGCCCCAGCTGACAGCCAGCAAAGAGAGGCAGACCTCAATCCTCATAAAGAATTGAATTCTACCACCAACCTGAGTAAGCCTGGAAGTGGATTTTCCCCAGACCCTCTGAGAACTCAGTGCAGCCAACACCTTCAGTTCAGCTTTGTGAGACCACGAGCAGAGAACCCAGCCATGCTGTGCCTAGAATTCTGACCTACAGACCCAGCTAATAAGTCGGAATTGTTTTAAGCCACCAAGTTTGTGGTAATCTGTTGTGCTGCAATAGAAAACTAACATAAGCTATATTGGCTTTTGTGACTAGCCTCCAAAGTCACATAACATCGCTTCTCCAATTATAAGCCCACCCAAATTCAATGAGAGAGTACATAGACCCACCTCTCAAAGGCAGGAGTGCGAGTGCCAAAGTCACACTTTAAGAAGAGTGTGTGAGGGGCACCTGGGTGGCTCAGTCAGTTAAGCAACCAACTCTTGGTTTCTGCTCAGGTCATGATCTCACAGTTTGTGAGTTGAAGCCCTACATCGGGCTCTGCACTGATATCGAAGAGCCTGCTAGGGATTCTCCGCCCCCGCCTCTGCCCCTCCCCTGCTGGCACTGTCTCTGTCTCTCTCAAAATAAATAAACTTAAAGAGCATGTGGGGTGGGAAATATTGTGGCTGCCTTTGGAAAACACTGTTTATTATATTAACTTGTAATTACAGAATTATAGAACATTGGAGTCGAAAGGATCTCACAGTTTATCTGTAAAATGAGGATAGAGGTACCTACCTCACAGAAGGAGGTACCTCTATTGTGAGATTTTTTTGTGTTAATCCTTGTTCAGGGCTTAGTACGGGACCTGGTATATAGTAAGTCCTCAGTGAATTTGTCTTATTGTCATCCGCTCCAACCCCCTTGTTTTACAAATAGGTGTGAAGCCTTAAGAGATCATGTCATGAGGGTGGGGTCTGCATCCACATCATTGGGGGTTGGCTGTCATTTGCCATGGTTGCAATAAACCACATGAGTCCTCTGCACAAATCACTTTAACATCGGATGTGTTTCTGTCTTTCCTGCCATGTTGTGAGTTCCCTCAGGCCAGGGAAAATATCACCAAAGAAACTGTTTTCTCCCCATCAGCCTTTTTAGTGTGCTGACCGGATATGGCCCAAAACACATTGAACAAGACCGGGTCTGCGTTTCAGTTTTACAGCTAGAGAAATGGAGGTACATGCAATGTGTGGAATGTGTGGCTTTCCTGGAACATTCCAGCTGGTAGGTGCAGCCTAAATCTAGTGTTTGTATAAGGATTGGGCCTGGTAGCTCTATGTGTTGGTTGTTACAATTACCAGAATGGCCCAGGCGGAGGGCAAGACATAGTGATGGAGCTTGGTGAGCACTTGAAGGGAAACTGGAGAAAGATACAGGGCTAGGAGTGAGCACAACTACAGAGACTTCTTCCTGGCTGAAGCAAAGATGGTGACAAAACAATTTTAGGACTAGCAAACATAAATAATGTTACCGGACCCACGTTCGGCTTCCTGCCGCGTGAAAGGCCAATACTCAAGAGACAAGCGTTGACTGGAAAGGAATAGCTTTATTCGGGTGGCCTGCCACCTGGGGAGAAGGTGGACTCTCTCCAAGAGCCGACTCTGAGGTTTCTGCCTGGCCTAGAGATTTTTAAGGGGGTTTAATCAGTTTAAAGGGAATGCGGTGGTCTGTGACATTCGTGATTACGTGCAGACCCGATGATGCCAGCTACAGAGTTATCTTGCTTGAAGGTTGTGCAAGAAGTCCTAGTTCCTTGGTACCCGGGAGGCAGGAGGGCGGGCTGTGCAAGAAGTTCTGGTTCCTTGGCATGCGCGGGAGGTTGTGCAAGATCTGGTTCCTTGGTATGCGGGGGCTTGTGCAAGAATACCCTGTCCTTTCTGCAAAGGAGGGCAAGGTCTACAGATGCACAAAGGGAGGTCAGTAAAGTCATTTGTGTGACCTTACAAAAAGAAAACATTTTGCTAAAAAATTGCTGGGCTAATCAGAAAGCCGAGGCAGCCTCAGACAGACTTGCTGGCCTCTATGGCCTGGGAAAGTTCCGTCCCTTCATTTCCCAAGGCCACTAGTTGCAAATCTCAAAGAAAGTAAATCAGTTCCGTTGCAGATCAAAGACCTTAGGTCAGCAAGCAAGGAGTGTGCTAACTTGAAGCAAGTTAACCCTTAAGTCCGCCGGGGTGCCATTACTATTCATGTTGACCAGTGGCTACCTTTCCCCACAGGTAAGTGAGCCCTGTTGTGTATTGCACTGTGTTTTAATAGATGAGACTAAACAGCTGAAGGTTTATCATTATTTTGAATACTACCTCTTTACCATTGATATTATTGGAAGTGGCGTTTCTCCTGTCGTGCTGCCTCTCCCAGCATAAAGCTGTCAGGGTCTACTGTGTGACTCAGCCTGGAGACACTAACATGAACATGGTCCGTCAGTTCACTATCCTCTTTCAGAGGAAAACAATGGGAGAAGACAACCAAATACAAAGGTGGATTCAAACCTTTGCCCAGTTCCCTCCTCTAACCAAGAATCCAGCTCATAGGGCCCGTGAGATCCTGCCCGATGTTAACAGCCCTCGCACCACACGACCCTTCGGTGAGTTCCAGTGCAGGGGCCCATAGAGAGCATGCCTTTTTAATTTACCTATT